TTCTCCATGCTCCTGTGGGCTGCACACAGGTGCAGCAGGTGCTAAAGTAATTTATAATAATTGTATTTTAAATAAATAATCCATGCCGCTCATGGGGCTCTTCCCTCAGTCAGCCAATTGTGCGTCATGTCCAATCTTACTTTGAAAAACCGCGAAATATCGACTCTGTGAAAGTCGAACAGCAAAGTAGTGAGGACTATTTTAATTTAATTTTTATTTATGTAAATGTATTTTAACTTTTGTTGTGATTTGTGCTATATACAGTAAATAAACTAAATTGAATTGCTTCTTTGTTATGTCTGTGAACAGACTTTCTTCTGTCCTTTGCGATCAGATCAGTGCCCTCTATTGACAAGAAGCAATAACCGCAACAGATAATAAAATAAATGATTTGCTCAGACACATATTTGTTTTAAAGAATATTAAAATGTAAAATAAATGCCTACATTGCCCCAACATGTGTCACCGTGGCACATTCCTACAAGTTTATGGTGATATTTTTAAAACATTTTTTAATTTTATTTTATAAATGTTATTTCTATAGTTCATTGCTGTATCCTGCAGTGTCACTTGTCAAACATTCTAAAGTTTTCCAACCACCAGTGCAACAATGAATGGCAACATATGAAACTGTCCAACTTAAAAGCTAGAAAACAATAACAACGTGTTCAACATTTAAAGCTACATCAAAATATATTGGAAATCATTTGGTGAACTAGAGGCTAAAATTTTGTTTTTTAACTTTAGAGTCTTAAAATAATTTGATAACGCTTGCTTTGTTTTTGCTGGACTGTCTAAACCTTTGTAAACATTTTTACAACTATTAAACGATCTTAATGCCTTGTACTATTGTATTTTAAAGTTCAAAACATTTAAAACCACAAAAGCAATATATTTTATAAGACTATAGTAAATATATTGGCTTTGTTGTTTTATATGTTTGGAACTTTAAAATGAAAGTTGTTGCTGTAAGGTGATGTCACATCTGTTGATAAACAAAATAGACACGAACAGAATGACATCATGGTTCAAACTGACACAGTTATATAGAAGTCCATGCACTTGGTCTCATGTGAGGGTACTTACTGAGCAGAATAATGACACAGAGAAGTATGGCCACAAGAGCTCCAGTTGTGAGACCATCTGAAAAGGGCAGGACCTCAGGATTGCATGACTGCATGTTTCCACGACTGTCACAAGCACACACGCGCACGATCAATGTACTGGTACTGCTCTGAATGGGGTAATCGTTGTCAGAGATCACGACAGGGAGGAAGTACATGCTCATCTCCCGCCGGCTGAATCCCCCCCTTCTCGTCAGGATGTTGGCAGTGTTGTCTGTGGAAAGATGCACATGGACAAAGCTTGTTGGCTAAATGATTTCACATGAGAAAACCATCATCTTTACTTCTTCTCCTCTTTCCACTGTGACAGGTGCCATAAAGGCAAAAAAATGAAAATGAAACTGGCATGTTAATTGCCAATGGTTTGGCCACAGTAACCCAGATTAAACCTGCTTAGGCCCTATTTACACGGACACGATGAGGGGAAATGTAGGTTTTTTCGTATGTTAATTAGAGGAAAAGATTTGCGTTGACACGGACGGATTTTGGGTTTACGTGCATGCGGAGGATTCCCCCCCGCCCTCCCGAATCCGCTGTAGTTACCATGCCAGGTCATTAGATGGCGCTGTGAATTTTGTACCTTCAGGTAATGCGCATGCGGCACACGGCTTTCCTGTGAGCTAAACAGCTCAGCTAACAACAACAACGTAGCGACAAGTTAAAGCTGTATTTTGGACAAGAGTCGACAGATTTAACGCCAAGCGGGACCGCTTCGTCTAACAGCTCCACACCGGTCGCTGAGTGGACCAGAACCGAGTCGACGATGTCGAACTTTACTCCGTGATCATCAGTAGCTGTTTTACAGCAGGTAAATCAAATGTTCTTAGTAATGCTAGTTTGTGTTTACTTTGGTTACAAAACAACCAAGTTTTTATTTTTTCCTGAAAGAAGAAGAAGCTGTCCTTCCACCAGGCGGACCGGTTCTGAATGAGGCTCGGCCCAGGTGCAGTGCAGGAAGATGTCGAAGAGAGAGATGTTGGATGAACTATTTATTTAAACTTCCCCTCAGTTCTTTTATTTAATCCATTCAAGTTCAGTTAACTTGTTTTTAATAGTGTGTTCAGTTAAATTATCGGTGTTTGTGTGACAAACAGTTTGTGGTGTTGAATAAATAAATAAAAATTAAACCTGATGTCTTCATTTTCAACTTTAGTGTTCACGCTATATGTTTAGCATCGTTTTAAATTTGAATTACATAATGTCCAGATAGCTTCATTTATCTCAGAGCTTCATTATATCTCACACTAACATAAATACTGTTTATTATTATTAAACTTATTATTTAGCACATTTAGATGTTATAGTGCAGCGCGACGTGTGCACGTGCCTCGTTCTATAAACAGCGACATTAGAACTGGATCAGACTGTGTCTCTTCCAACACAGATGTTGGTCACAGAAACCTGGAATCTGATGTAGATTAACTAAGAGATTAAAAATATATTCCATCAGTCGAGGTTCTGAAAGCAGTGTGTCCGCTGCCATGTTGATAGAAATATAGCGTCTGTCCGCGCGTGCGCATGTGGTTTAACACAAAGCCTCAGCGGGAGATGTTTCCATTATCAGTGGGGGGTCAGTGAAAAACCTCCACCCTGGAAGGTGGGTTCAGAAACCTCTGGATTCAAAGAGGAGGGCCACTGGTGTCGTGTAAATGATCAGCAGAACCGTAGAGAGGAAGCTGCAGATGCACTCAAAATGCGCGCCGTGTAAACGGCCCCTTAGTCAGTATGTCTACTAATGAATTCAACCTTTATTTATTTATGCAGGTTAGTCTCATTGAGCCTCGAGGACTCATTTACAAGAGAGACCTGATTTTAACAAAGAATGATGACAACAATAGACAATCTTAAAACATATACACATTGAGAAGAACAAATAAAAGAACATTGCACTAAAAAAAAAAAACGGCTAGATTGTACATGTAATTTAAAAAAAATCATCTTTGTAGTTATGATTTAATCAAGAATAATCCTGTAAGGGGCGACGGTGTCTCAGTTGGCAAAGCGGTCACCTCTCAGTGAAAAGGTTGCTGGCTCAAATCCTGGCTGGGGGCCTTTCTGGGTGGAGTTAGCATGTTATCTCCAAGCATGTATGGATTTTCTTTGGGTACTTCAGTTTTATCGCACAGACCAAAAACATGCATGTTAGGCTAAACTGTCACACTAAATTGTCCCTAGGTGTGAGTGAGAGAGTGAATGGCTGTTTGTCTCTTGACCCTGTGATGGACTGGAGACCTGTCCAGGGTGTACCCCACCTCTAACACACTGACTGTTAGATATGGGCACCAGTGACCCCCACAACCCAGAAAGGAAGAAGCAGATAAAGATAATGGATGGATGGATGGACAATCCTGAATAATCTTAAAGTTTTTAGTTCCACTCTTGCTGGAGGGAAAACTAAAGATATTAAATACTTTTTTTGTTTAGGGTGCTCCCACTGAGACATCCCTGTTGCTATACTGTCAAAATAATTTGTGCTTATAGTTATGATTGTCAGAAAAAGAAAAAAAAAATCCCCAGCTGTCAGTTTTTGAGTGTTTAACTATGCAGTACAACGACCCACAACATTTTTTGGGAGGTGGTGAACAGACACTTTTTCAGTATAATACTATTGATATGAGGTTATCACAAGTTTATTTTTACAAGATCATTTATTTTAATTTATAGTCATTTTACTTCATACTGGGGGCAATTAGGCTCTTACCTTCCTTGTCAACAATAGTAAAATTTGGGTTGGTGCCACGCATACTGAAGACAAACTTGTGTCCGACAAGAGGTTCATCTGTGTCAACAGCACTTATTGTCTGAATCAACTGCAAAATAAAATAAAACTAAACAATTAGTACAAGGCATGAACAAAACAATATAAATATATTAAATGTTGTGCCATTGTGGTTAAACATGTCTTTTCAATATCCTAAATGTACAATGTATATCATATAATGTGCGTATGTTTTAAAATCACAGTTAAAATTCAAGCACCTGTCCTGCTTTGACATTCTCACAGACAAATGTATCGTAGGACATTGCAAACTCTGGTGCGTTGTCATTGACATCCAGTACTTTGATGAACACCGGCACTCGAGTGGTCTGACGAGGATTATCTGAAACATATAAATGTGAACTTGAGTTTAAGCAGCAGAGAAAAGCATTTCAGTAAATATCAATCAATAATGATTCAAAATAAATAGAAAACCCTGTTGAAACCCATACCAAACCCATACCATACCCAAACCCATGTTGAAACCCATTACCCATATTGAAAGATCAATTACTTATTTCAGTGGCCACCACAGAAATGTTGTGCCATCTGGACATTTCTCTGTCCAGCGCTTTCAGTGTTGTGATGGTGCCATTGAAGGAATCGATGCTAAACAGCCGTTCAAGATCTGTGTGTCGGTCAATGGAGTATCTACAGGAGGAATACATATGGTTACTGTTGTATTCTTATGAGCACATCACAAGCGTACAAGTGTTGCACTCAAGGATTTGAAAGAAAACATTGTAGTGAAGTTTTACTTCATTTTTGCGGACTTGTTTGCATAATTATAAAACACAACTAAAAGCTTTTGTTAAAAATACACCCACTACAATAATTAAAAAAAAGGTATCTCAAGCTCTCTATTGTGAAACAATGACATGTCTTTCATTGAGTCCACTCATTTGTCACAGTCACCTCTCGTGTTGGGTGGAAATTTGAATATGCAACACAACACACCATGTGGCATGGGCCGACAGTGCATATCTCTGGGACAGGGACAGGCGGGCGCCATATGTTTCCAACAGCGGCAATGAGCTGTGTGAATCGATACAGCAAATTAAACTATTTGACTTTGTGTAAAGCCACAGAGGGCTTACATAATTCTGGGAAATAAACACTGTCTGTATTCACTTCACAGGACAACTGCCATCTTCCGCTGGGAAATCACCAGGAGGGATCCATGAATAACATTTTTCCCTTTTCTCCTGCACGCTTACACGTGGGTGGCTTGATGGATTAGATAAACCTACTGGGCATATTTTCATCATTCCTGTATAAAACTGACAACAATCAAAAAAAAGTGTACATTTACCAAAGCTGATTGTTTTAGCATTGATTTTACACTTGTAGAAATGAACCTGAGACGATGAGTTCTAAATCAGTCAAATCACTAGAACACGATTGTTGAGGAAATCTTTGCTTAACAGGCTATTGATTTATTTGTGAGTTTAATTTAGTCTGTGCTTAATTTACAAAATGATTGAACCCAAGTGAAAGGGCTGAAACGAGTTTTAGTATTCAACCCAGTTAAACACAAAGGTGCAAACACACTTCGTCTTTTGTTACATACTTGACTGGCTTGTTGTCAGCGTCTGGGTCCCTGGCCAACACAACACCAACAAAGCTGCCAGCAGCCGTGTCCTCGTGCACTTCAATGATATAAGGGTTCCTGGTGAATACAGGGGGCTCATCCACATCTTCTACCGTGACCTTGACCGTGGTGGAGTCTTGGAATTGCACACCACTGACGAACCGTGCATCAAAGAAGGCGTTTCTCACCTCCACTCTGAACTCATAGTCCTTCTTACTTTCATAATCCAGTGCCTGGAGATGAAAGAGCATCAGAGGAAAAGATGTAGACTTTTCTGTTTGAAAAAATAAGAACTCCTCCAGGATTATGATATGCAATTCATTGCATTTCATTTGTCTGCCTTTATCTTTGTCGCTTGCTAAATTCAGAGTAACAAATTCAAGTCAGGAATACTGATCTGGGAGATCTTAGGGGAAAACTAAAAAAAGGTTACTTGCAAAAGGCTCTTCTATATTATTCATTTTACAGGCTTATGGTATCAGATTTTAGACTGAAGATCAAAAATATATATTTTTTTTACAAGAGTGAATGCTTTTAGGGGATTTTGCTTAAATGAATACATACTGTTTCTTTCCAACTAGAGTAAAATATTCGACAATATAAATTATAAGACAGAGTTTGTAAAGTATATAAATGCAAGATCACAGCGTGTCAAAAAGTTTGTTTGTTTGGTAAGATATGTAATGGGTTTGGGTTTAATTTGAACCCCAAGCTATTTCCACCAAAACTATGAAACTTTTCAAACATTTCAAAGCCAACAAAGTAAACATAACGCACAATATCTTCTTGGGTTTATCATAGAAACAGATATGACACACACACACATATATATGTGTGTGTGTATACATACTAATGATCCCAAAATGTTTTTGTTTTTTTATTATTATTATTCTAAAAATATATCATTACAAGTACTATAAACTGTACACATATATTTTAGGGTATTAACTCAGGCTATTATTGTAGTCCAGTCAAAACTAACAGAATATATCGAAAGAGTAACAAACCTTTTTGATTATGATAACTCCCTCCTGAGTAGTTTGGTCAGTTGTGATATTGAATGTGTCATGACCATCAACAATACTGTATTGCATATGAGCATTATCGCCCACATCTGGATCATCAGCCTTAATGCGTCCAATGGCACCACCGATCTCTGTAGACTCCACGGTCGTCACACGAAAATAATCTACAAATGAGAATTAAACAAAGTAAAATATTTTAGCGGTCTAAAATAATTTACTTTTAATCAATTGATTATTTAATTAATTCAAATTTTCAATTAATTTATCTTAATTAAGTATAATTTACTTTCGACAGCTTGCACACGAAAGGTTTACTTTTAGGAGTGGTGACATATTGTGCAGGACTGCTTACGGTTAGCGAAACGCGGCGGACTGTCGTTGACATCAGA